CTCTCTGAAAGTGGACTCTTCCAATTTCCTGAGCTGGCTGAGCTCTGCATTGAACCAGGGTTTATCGTTATTGTAGATGACCCTGGTCCTTGTTGGGATTATGCTGTCCTCGCAGAAATTAATTTATGACGTCACAATGTCCGTGTAGTCATCCAAACTTCCTGTGACAGCTCTGAAAGAGCCCCAGTCCGTGGATTCCAAGCACGCGCGCAGCTCCTCCACAGCCTCATCAGACCACTCAGTGGAGTTCCTTACTAAAGATTTCGAGAGCTTCAGTCTCTGTATGGAGGAATCAGGTAGATCATGGAGTGGTCAGAGAAGCCAAGAGCTGCAAAGAGCAGGGCACAGCGCAAAAAGCTCCGCGCACAGTGGTGAAACAGTGATCCACTGTCAAAAGCTGTGCATACACTGTAAAATACATCTGCAGAGGAGAAGGGGGCAAGAGCAGGACTGGATGCAGCGGTAAGACCACAGTAGTCCTCTGAACTAATCAACACATTGGAGAGACTAGAGGAACTAGAGAGATACTAGAGACTGGAGAGAGAGACCATAGAGGGCCCAAAGAGAGAGACATTAGAGAGACAGGACAATGCACATACAGGACAGCAGTCAGAGCACACAAAATATACACCAGAGACCAGAGAGAGAGAGCGATAGAGAGAGAGAGAGTCCTCTGAAAAAATCGCGGCTGTGCACACAAGATATCTTCTCATTTTAAATTGAGGTAACTTTCATGTGATAATAGCAGTTGTATGATATTGTTGGAATATCCAAGCGGCGCACACGCAAGTTATGTGAAACAGCGAGGCCACAAAAGGGGAGCCACGTTGAAGTGAGGGACCATTGCACATCATGTCTATTGTATTTTTAAATAAAGAATAACTCATCACGATTCGTACATGGGACCTATCATGTCGGGGATGTGATTTTAAATGAAAATATTTCACACTGCTCCTTTAGATTGAAACTTTTTTCTCATCATCGTCTTCATCACAAACAGGTCCTTGTGGTAGCAAGCTGTTGCTCCATCTAAAACCCCAAAATTCCCTCTTCCTCAGTTTGACGGCCTGGGAAACTCTCTGGATCTCCTGGTTTTCTCCTCGTTTGTATGGAGCGGCGTTGGCTCAAAGTTAATCACCATATCAAAGGTACGATGCGGCTCCCTCCGGGCCACTGTAGTCCCTCTGCCAAACTCACTCACATTTGATTTCTGTTTAAGTCCATTATCCACGGCTCTTTTCTACTCTGCCTTCTGCATACAAGTTCTCACACAAGTCTTCCCCACACGAGCTTGGCCCAAAAGTAAATTTGCATACATTTGTCTGAGCGCATTTTTGGAAATACAAGATACAAGAATTTATTTGCCAATTGCAGTAAAACCACATTGCAAAAACTGTGGAAAACTACCCCAGTGTGCACCAGACAGAAACGTTTTTAGGATTTTTACCATTGACACGGGAATAGGGAGGGGGGAGTGGTTTTCATCACCACAGCGGCAGGGTAAAAGATAAGTCATGGGTGTCATTGACTTTTTGAATTTTTCTTAAAAAATTTTTTGCACATTCAGCTGACCCAAAAGGTTAACAACTGATTGAAATTTGGTGGTGACAATAATAATAATAATGCATCGGTTTCATATAGCGCCTTTTTGGACACTCAAAGGCGCTTTACATGTCATTATTCATTCACTCCATACACGGTGGTGATAAACTACGACTGCAGCCACAGCTGCCCTGGGGCACACTGACAGAAGTGAGGGAACCGTACATATTTGTACAAAAATGTCCCTGACCATACAAATGTCATAAGCAACATGTTTCCGAAAAAAATATATTTTAGTTGACTATAATTGCTTTGTATTTTCGTTGAATTGGACTAAAACTAAACTAATTCAGATGACTAAAATTGTGACTAAAACTAAGTTGTCCTCTCCATTGGCTTTGGCAGCTTTGTGACGTATCTAGCGGTTTAACATTAACTAACAGTTGAGAGCCACTACTGCTACTGAGATAATACTGTGGCTTAGGTTCAGGCCATGCAATTATCTTAGTGTGTATAAAAGACATGCGAGCTGTGAATCACAGCCCAGACTAAAACCCCCTTTTTGTCCCCTGGCCCGGCGGGCAGGCCCTTTTTTGGAGAATTTTCAAATGTTCATGTGGGTGGAGTAAGTAAGTAAGCAAGTAAGTAGTTTATATAGCGCCGTTCACAGATCGGAGTCAAAAAGAGCTTCACAATTGTGGGCATTTGTCTCCCACTCCACACAGAGAGCGGGGTAAGTAAAGCTGGGCACTGGTGTGTAGTTGATCTTTAAGTGCTTTTATCTCGTTTCCTATTTCAAAACATGGAAAGATAAACATATACTGCAACTGGATCTTCCATACTGGACGTGTTCTCTCCTCCCGCTGGAGGAACATTTTCAGCAACATTAAAGTAGCAAGTAAGTAAGTATGTAGCCCATCTAAAATGTATCCAATTTTGTATTTTTAATCATTTCAAATCCATGAATTTATGCAATTGCAATATGTCATGTAATCAGTTAATTCACTGTTAAGTTAATTCAATAGTTGGTACTTATTTTCACTATTAGTCATATTAACAAATTTACGTATTTATGAATGGGGGGCTGGACTACAAATGTTGGTCAACCACGCCCACCTGCAGACTAGTGAGTGTTGACGCTGTTCATGCTGTTGTGAACCTGCGTGCCTCAAAATGTGATTCTGAACCGTGGACAATAAACGTTGCAAACGGACGATTTTGTGTTGGTTTGGTCAATTAAGAGTGCAACAAGTACACTTAAAGGACAACTCACCCTCAAATCCACTTTTTTTTGCTGATAAACAGTATAAATGAGTGTCCAATAGTGTTATGTACATATCCCGGTCATAATTTTATCACTTTAGTGCAAATTAGTTGAAAGATCAACTTTCTGCCTAAAACCGTCAGTGAGGCGCCATCTGCAGGCGACCTGTATTTACTATATTCTAATTTTGAATCTGGCGCCAACATTGGGGCAGCATTTGTTACTTACGTCTGCAGTTGTTCCTGACGTCAGCAGCCCTTCCGCCCTGAGATATATAAACGGCCCAGTCTCGTTCACGGCCCAGTCTCGTTCACGCCCCCGTAGCGAGTTGGAGAAGGAATAGCAAAGAGTATTTTCATCGATTGTCAGGTTTGCGATTGGTTATAGCATTTAGTAGATTTTTATTAGCATAGCTGTTTGTATTATAGATAATTGTGTAGTGTTAATAGCGTTGTTGTTGAATATTGTAGATTCAATCATTAGTTAGTTGCATTGTATATTGTTTAATGTAATCACTCTCCATCTCTGTCACAGCCAATGCTGATGTCAAGTGTCAATCACAGCCTAAACCCGCCCAACATTCACCCCCCCGCCTGTCCCCTTTAGTCCTCCAGGCTAAGCCCATTTGGAGGGAGATTTGAAAAGAGAATGTGAGTGACGTAAGCCTCGAGGAGCGGGGGTGAAAACCTCTTTAATGTACATAGTACATTTCAGAGACCAAAGTCACACAAAGTACCTTACAATAAACTTACTAATCAGCCTACTGGTATGTTTGGGAAGATAGTATCTAGGGATGCACCAATACCACTTTTTTCAAAACCGATATTAGCACTGTGATTTGAGTGTTTGCCGATACCAAATACCGATACGAGTACTGCATTCATACGACTAATACAATTGAAATTTAAAATGTTTTATTTCTCATTTTAAGAAGAAAATGCTTTAGCAATTAAACATTTTAGCAATTGTTTTAACAGTCAGCAATCAGAGCCACTGTCATATTCCACTCATACAAATGCTATGTTGTAGAGTTGGATGTTTTTTGTGCTCCAGTGCTAGCAAAGGTGTAACACTCTGCGTGGTGGTGAGTTTTCAGATGTTTGATGAAGTTGCTGGTATTTATTTTGGACCCACCTCATGGCAGATTTGCCAACGTACAGTCCCCTATTCTCTTGTCACTCGTTTACTTAAAAAAACTGCCATACGGCCGAGATCCTGTCCGCTGGCCACTAAGCTAGAGGCAAGCGCTTTCTCACTGCAGACTTTTGGAGATCACCATAGCAACACGTGCCGCACAGCTGTCTGCTGTCGTGACGCTAATGTAAATTTAAAATGTGGGTATTGGGTCCTATGGTATGAGAATGAATACGAGTACAAGCCTATGGTATTGAGCCAATACGTGTTTGCCAAATGCGGAAGAAGCTGATCTAAACATAATCAGCTGGGTCAGCTTTGTGCCGTAACAGAGACAGACTTATGCTCATATCTGGATTTACAAAGACAATATCAAAATATACATACATATATGCAGTTGATGGTATAGAACAGGTCCAGCCTTCTGCTGTCAGCGATGTGACTAGTTCTTATTTGACTGCATAATCCCATGATAATAAGAAAAGAGGGATCACCACACCAGAATGTCTATGCTTTTCACAATTCAAGAGAATATTTATTTGAGCATTGGCCTGAATGTCGTGGGTTCGAGCCCACCATAAGACCTACTTCAAGACTCCCATCGATGTCTTCTGTCTTTGTGTCCTTGGGCAAGACACTTAACCCCACTTTGCCTAAAGCCCCCACTGAAAGATCTCAGCTCCTGTGGACTCACCACCTGCAGGAGGATCAGTGAGGGGCTGGTGCAAAGTGTACTGGGTGCAGCTCTGGCTGCCAGAAATAGATTAAGGGGAAGAAAATGGATGGATGAACTTATTAACAGCTGTAGAAAGCGGTAATATCTCCTCACTCCTCAAATTCTCTACTTTATTGACTTCCACTCCAATCAAAGTAGAGAACAGCTACTCCACCATTACATACTGTACTTATAATTCCAGCCTCATTGTCTCATCTCCCGGTGTAATCCCAGTTTTAGCTCTACTGTCTTTGAAGGGCTCCTCTCCTCTGGGACCAGACAATCCGCCCTGATCCAGCTGCGGAGCATGGCCTTGATCACAACCTCCAGGTGCTCATTAATATTTCATTCAACCTCCAGAACTATCGGCAAGGAGAAGTCCCACCTGCCCTGAAAGCACCACTGTAGAAAAAATACTGTTCCCACTAGTGGCAGCGGAGTGATCATGTAATCTGTGAGGTTTATTACGAATTAGGTGTTTGTGAAGGATCTAATATAATGAATAAGACATTATTACAGTCTCTGTCTCTCCTTAATTCAGCATATGGTTCTGTAGGTAAGAGTGAAAAATATACCCTCAGTCAAAATGTGAAAAAACACAGCTTGTCAGTCAAGCTGCATATGGTCAAGCCGTAGAAGTACAGTAACTTGAGTTGTATCCTCTGCTCTCTCCTACTTTATCTCTCTTATCATCATGCCTTCAGCTGTAGTCTATTCATTGCTATTCACCCACTGTCCCATTGCCTATATCATGATGTGATGATGGTGCTTTTGACCACCTGAAACCGCCCCCTTTTATCTGCACCTGTGAACCGGTCTCCCCTGTCCCGAACTCGTAGGCTGCAATCTCCCGCCTGCCTGGGTGCCGATTCAGTCCTGCACCACACAGCCTCTGTGCTGGTTCTACAGCCTGAGTTCTGGATCAATTTCCTGTCCGTGCAAGTGGATCCCCTCTCAATATGTTTTTTGTTGTTGTTCCTTGCTGATGTAGGAGGGATCTAAGGACGCAGTGGATGATCTCGGACATTTGTTAACAGCACGGTGGCTGAGTGGATAGCAAGAAGGTCCTGGGTTCGAATCCCGGTTGGAACAGAGTCTCTCTGAGTGGAGTTTGCATGTTCTCCCTGTGCCTGCGTAGGTTTCCTCCGGGTACTCAGGTTTCCCCTACCACTAAAAACATGCTCACTAGGTTAAATCCTCCAGCTCCGGTAGTCCCGACCAAGCCGAGCATCAGCATCTGGAGATGGCTTCCCAGGCGCTGTACTACGGCGACCACTGCTCCTGACGTAAGCCTTCGAGGCATCAGGATGGGTCAAATGCAGAGGATTGAATTGCCCTACGGGGATTAATAAAGTGCACTTTTACCTTTAACTTTACATTTATGGACAGTAGTCATTCCACTACCTATGTACCAATGTCTCCTATTTGTTTGTTATTATTGTATTTCTTGTGTTCTGATCTATTGTTGAGGAATCAATAACTTTGTAAAGTTCTCCGAGACGACTTCTGTTTAGGGGTATACAAAAATAAATTGAATTTAACTTGTTTTACAGTAAAGTGGATAAAGATATTTCAAAAGAACTAAATACATATTGAGCCACAGATGTCACAAACTCTCAAGTTGCAGACCGAAGTACGTAATGTCTTCTGGAACATACGTGTAACCGTACCCTGCACTTGCGGCCATCCACCGTCTCCTCGTTGTACTCCTCTCCAATGGTGAAGTGGATCTCGGTCGTGCGCACGCTGGTGGAGGTTTTGATGTAGAAAGTCTCTCCCTCCTGACGGATCTCCACGTGAGGATTTGAGGCTGCAGCTACGGCCACTTTCCTCAGCATGGCATTCACTCCTGAGCAACAAGAGACAAAAATACCACTGTTACTACAACTGCTGCTGCTATTACTACTGCTACTGCAGCTACAACTACTTCTGCTACTACTACTAATACTAATGCTGCAACTGCTCTCATTCTGACAATGGCATTCAATCAGGGCCAAGAAAAGGCCGGAATATTGCTGCTGCTGCTACTGCTGCTGCTGCTGCTACTACTACTACTACTACTACTACCACTACTATTATACTCTTAGCATGGCATTCACTCCTGAGCAACAATAGACAGAATTATTACGATTACTATTACTACTAGCTAAAGCTACTACAGCTGCTACTTTTTTGAGACTACTAATAATACAACTGCTACTACCAGTACTACTAGTACTATTGCTGCAGCTGCTATCATCCTCAGCATGTTATTCACTTCACTGAGCAACAAAATACATAAATATTACTATTACTACTGAGGTAAAGGTCAAGGTTTACTTGTTATTCCCTCCACAGGAAAATGTGTTTTTGTCTTTGCATTTGACCCATCCTTTACCACTATGTCTGTAAACTGTTTGTCTTATTTGTTGAGCGAGTTTGTTGTGACAGTCAGCCTGATCAACGCTAACACCACACACTGTAAACCCCTGTTCTCCGTTCTTGCTGTGGTCTTATGGCTACGCGTTGAGGCCGGACCACCCCTGGGCGAAGTCTCTATGTCGGTGGGTGCAAAATGGGTGGTGGGTTTTAATAAAGGTTTTATTTATATTTGTATGCATATTGTGTGTCTGTTTTTGACATTGTTTTTAACTTGCACCACCCATAGTACCCCGGCTCCCCACGTGACGACAATTAGAACACCTGTGCCTTGAGTACAAAAGGAGATAGGGAGGGGGAGGAGACAGAAGGGAGGCCAGAGAGTGAGACACGGGAGCCAGACACAGTGAGGGGAGAGCCCCGTGGTCTGGCGGCCCAGGCCGTGGACTAGACAACGTTTTTAGCCTAGTTTGCATTGCTTATTATTTTACTTGTTTTTATGTCCATCCATCCATTTTCTTCCCCTTAATCCATTTCTGGGTCAGGGGGGTGGCAATCAGAGCTTCACCCAGTACACAGAGCACCAGTCCCTCACTGATCCTCCTGCAGGAGGTGAGTCCACAGGAGCCTTGATTATTCAGTGGGGGCTTTGTTTTTACGTGTTCATAATAAATCGTTTTAATTTGCTTTTAATTCAGTGGTCTCCTTTTAAACCTGGGTCCAAAGAACCGGTTTTACCAAATCCGACATCTACTCCAATCAGACACAGAAGGGAACACGCCGTTCCGTTGTGTGCTTGCATTTAAAAACGCTTCTGAATCACAAATTCAACAAGTTTTAATGCAGAGCAAAAAAAAAGACAAAGAAAAGTGTGAGTGGCATGTCGGAAAGGACATGTGATTTTAGTTTGGAGTGATGTTTTTACATGTGTTTTAGTTGCATACTATCAGACCTGCCCCAGCTGGAGTCATGCCCACAGAACCCCGTGGACGCTGCTGCCCAATCCCGAGTGCCACATAATCAATACACCTGTGCCTAATGAGCGAGCAGAGAAGAAAAGGGGACGTTTAAGCACACAGACGGGGCATGACAGCGGAGGACATTGGGAGACCATGTTTCCACAGGAACAGCCCAGCCTGCACCAGCGTGCCATTTACACGCAGCGGCAGAGCAGGAAGGCTCTGCCTCACCTATGAGTACCCCTCTGTGAGTTGCTGGTGCAGCCAGGAGAGCCTCAGGCCCCCAGCAGCTGGTGGATCGCTGTTCTGTATACTGTGTACTGGCTCTGGTCTCTTAGAGAGCGTGGTGGAGAGGGAAGCGGCGGCGGTTCGAGGAGGCACCTGACCCCGGGAAGAGCACCGTGACGCTGACTACACACAGCGCAGGGTGAATCCTTGCTGTGTCTATAATACTGTACCTCCAGTCGCTGTTGTGGTGCTGTAAGTTTTGTTGGGTCTCTTGCTTGTGTGTTCGGCTGTGTGGTGCGCTATCATTTTTGTTCTTGTGCCCAGCGGTGGAGCTGGACCGCAAGCAGGAGACGGGGCAGGGTGGATCTCGAGCGCCCCTCAGCGCTCGAGACTTTTAATATATTTTTAAGGACTTTGTTTTTATTAAATTATTGTAATGAAATATTTATTTTTTTAACAGTTTGCGCTGCCTTTTTGGTCACACCACTGCTCTGCCATCACTGTCCCATTTTGGCCCACTACTCCCATCATTCCTTTTTTTTTTTTTGCCATAAATCAAATCCCCTCCTAAATATAAAATCACAGGTAAAAAATCTAAAAGACCAAATTCAGGCACATTCCCACTGTGCAATAACTCAATAATTTTGAATAACCCTGGGGTCGCCTCTTCCTTACACACTGAGGGACACGGGCTGGTGTGTCAAAACAACTCTGTATTTAACTCACCCTGCAACATACTAGTTTTGCCAATGCGTGTTCATTTGCGTATTTTAGACAGCATGAACCAAACATTGTTTGTTCATGATCATGTTGTTAGCCTAAAATAAAATGTCAGCGTTTAAAGCTCTGCAGCATCCTCTCCTCACAGGTTAAAATTCAATATATACATTTTGGCATTTCGTCCACTGCAAGATAGAATATTACTTGCAGTTCAGGATTAATACCAAGATTTAAGTGACTCGATACAAGCTTTTGATACTGAGCAATAACCAAAATTACTGCATGTAAACACAAAGATTCATTTCTATTCTATTTATTTATGTATAGCTGTAAATCATAAAAGCAGTCGTCTTGGATGACTTTACAAAGTTGTTGATTCCCCAGAACAGATCAGAGAATGAAACCGTTCAAATTTGCCCGGCTCTGTAAACTTTCAGATCTCAGCTATATTTTGCCTTAACACCACAAACAGTCCCTCTATCCTGATCTTCTGATGTTTTTGCACATTTGTCGCAGCCTGTCACTCATTGCTTCTGACACAAGCCTCCCTCAGCTTCCATCAGGGTCCTGTTAAATACGTGGGTTTGTTTAGAGGCTGGGGACATCACACTCAGCCGACATAATTGAGGACAAGCATGTGTTCAAATGAGGCCAAGAATGCACCGTATAGTTCATATATGGGGCACTTTATTCACTGTGGAATTTGGGGCATGTTTGATAGAGCAGTGACAAAAGTTGGTATTCAAAATAGTATGTGGTGCATGGGCAGAATATCACAAATCAACTGTGACTGTTTTGCCAATATTTGGGAGGTTTTCACTCTTTGTTACATGTTGTGTGAAGCTATGGTCAAATCATAACATCATTGAGCCTCTCTGGGGAGACCTCAAACGTACAGTGCATGCAAGGCGGCCCAGGAATTTACCGGATTTAAAGACCAATTCTTCTTGCCAAGAAGAATTAATAGGGTTAGGGTTGTCCTAACAATCACATATCTGTGTTTGCAGTCAAAAACTTTCAACTTTAGAAAAGAACTCTACTCTACTTTGGTGGCAGCATAGGGAGTTACAGGCACATTTTTTACCCTTTATACTTGTTTTACCATATATTTTCTATTGAAGATATTATTTCACTTTCTAAAACATGAAATTATAAAGTAAACAGTCTCATAATTTTGAAGGGCCTAGAGTAATGCATATTATTTCTTCTTTGAATTTTTAAGTATTTTATTGATTTGTTTGATGTGTTTGTGGTGGTGTGAGCAGACACAGTAGTGACCCACTTTCTGCTTCCCAAACCTCACTCATCGCTGACGCAGTGTTTTGAGCGAGAGCAGGGGAGGACGGTTATGCTCCGCGGCGGCGCTAATTCCTGCCCTACTTAAATGCTTAAACATGAATGCGCCAGCCCCTCCTTTCTCCAAAAAACCAACAATACCAGATTTGTTTGGGAGCGCAATTTTGCATACATGCCTGAGTTTGTCTCTAAAAACACGGACTACCACTTTCCCATGGGAAGTAATGGCGAGACAAAAAATGAATAATAAATACTATGAAAATATCATAAAAAATGCATAAAACACAATTTGAATTATATTATAATTAATTGAGCACTATCTTCTCCTCCTTCCTACTTTGTCTGCATTATTAGGATTTTGACTGTAGTCGGTCCATTGTTATTCACCCGTTGTTATTCACCGTTCCCTTTGTTTGTTTCATGCCGTGACGATAGGATCCCGGAACCCGGTCCCCTCCATCTGCACCTGCGGACTGCCCTACCTGACCCTACCTGCCCTACCGGACTTTACCCCCGAACCGCCTGGGAGCTGCTTCAATCCTGCACCGCACCTGTGCTCATTCTGCAACCACTGCGTGGCCTTGGTCCTCAATCTGTAGCTTAGGTCCTGGATCAATTGCCCATCCGTCCGTGTGGAGCGGATCCCTCTCTCAATGTGGACCTCCCTCATGTTTCTCAATTTTCTCCCACTGGGTTTTAGAGTTTTTTGTCGCCGATGCAGGAGGGTCTGTTAGACCAGTGTTTTTCAACCACTGTGCCATATGATATTGTCTGGTGTGCCGTGGGAAATTCGCTTACTTTGTATAAAAATAAATGCATCCGCAAATAGTGTGCTGTGGGCGAGTGCTGACTTGTTTCAACCCCTATAGTACCTGTGTAATACTATTTCATACCAATAGATGGCAGCAGACAGGTAATTACTTTGAGACGTAAGAATTGGATGCCACCACAGGATGTAACAGGTAGCAGGGACAGAGCATGAATCGCATTGTGGCTAGTGAGAAGTGAAAGTGATGGAGACGTTTTTGAAAAGGAAATTATGCCATTTCCGAACTGGACCCTGGACCAAAGGCTTTGTAAGCAGAGTGAAGGAGAGAAACCCAGCTGTGATTTAACGCACTGTTTTTTGTTTTACTCAGTGAGGCCCTCGTAACAAAGACGTTATCTGCAGACCTTGTTCCTGCATTGGATGTTGTTGTGCACATGATAAACTTTAAAAAGGAACACCCCTTGAAAAGCCACATATTTGTGTGAGGCAATGGGAGCGGAGAATGAAAAATACTTTGAA